CGCCACGACGGCGTTTCTTGCAAGACTGCGGTCACGAGGACTCTTCAGAGCCTGCGAGAAAGGAAAAAGAGAAAACAAGCTGGGGACTCGAAGATCGACCTTTAGGCTTCGTCCAGAAATTACGTCTAGCAGCACACGAATGCAGGGAGACCGTGCAGCCTTCGTCTTTTCACGGTCGTCGTGTTGTACACACCCCGCGCAGGCCCCCAGGTTCGAGTGAAGGACCAGTTCGCAGCGCGTGCAACAGCATCGACCACTGCTCGCGGCCCTGACGGAACCTCGGGGCAACGACACTTGTTGGGCAGAGCGCTGCAGTTCTGTGCCCCCGCAGAAAAGCAGAAACAATGAAGGAGGAGGAGGAGGAGGAGGAGTAAACGGGGAATGAGGGATGCAGGGGAGGATGAGGATGCGAGCGACAGAGGAGAGGAGGAGGAGGAGCAATGCGGGGGCGCAGAAGGAGCAGCAGGAGGAGCAGGAGCGGGGGAGGGAGGAGGAGGAAGAGGGAGACCCTAGTCTTGATAACCGGAACTTGTATGAAAGACCCAGTGCCAACCGTTCCCGCAGAAGCTATAGCATTGGACGAAACGGTCCAGGCTCTGGACCAGTTGGTACGTCGCTCGCGGGGGCGCAGTTTTGACCTCGGCTTCGCGGAAATGAGGAGAGCGCGTAGTGCACCCCCCGGGGGATGACGGTGATGATGTGGAGGAGCAGGACGATGGTGAGCGGCAAGCAAGAGGAGACAAAGGAGGTGGAGGAGGAGGCGGAGGAGGAAGAGGAGTAGGAGGAGGAGGAGGAGGGGCGGGAGGCGGGAGGAGGACACAGGACGGCCTGGCAGCTCATCCAGCCGTCCCCCCCCCCCTCCTGCGCGGCTCGCCCCTGTCGGCCCCGCCCTCCCCGGTCGCGGCGGGCCAGGAGCTCTTCGACCGTTACACGGCCGAGGGCTTGGAGCCCAACGCCGCGGCCGCCCGGGCGATGAAGGACCCGGCCTCGCCGACGACAACGGCGGCGAGGGGACGGCGGCGGCGGCGACAGTGGCGGCGACGACGGCTGCGACGACGACGGCGGCGCCACCGCCGCCGCCGCCGCCGCCGAAGACGACGACGACGACGACGACGACGACGACGACGACGACGACGACAACTACGACGGACGACGGACGACGTCGACGACTAAGACGACGACGACGGGTGCGAAGGCGACGGCGGCGACGCTCGGCAGCGGCGGCGACGACGGCGGTTCTGGCGCCGTGGCGACGGCGGCGGCGACGCCGTGTGCAATGGCGAGTCGAGCCTTGGCCCAAGGTGCCCCCAGCTTATCGCTCCATTTCGGAGCCCCTGAGGTCTTCTGGGCCTCGTACGGGGTGTTCTGGAGGACGTCTGGGCCCCCCCGAGAACCCTGTGGGCGCCTCGAGCCAGGGGCACTTCTGGCAACAGCCGATCAAGGAAAGCCCTTCCCACGTCTCAGCGCGTGTGCTCGCAAGGCGTCCTGGCGGCGCTGGCGGCGGCGGCCGCAGCAGGGGCGGCAGAGGCGGCAGCGGTGCGGGGCGGCGGTCGCCGCAGCAGCGTTTGCGGCAGTATGCTCAAGTCGGGCACGTCCCTCTACAGGAGGAAGGTTCAAGCACAGTAACAACAGTTCAAGCACAGTAACAACAGTGCTATGTTCTCATCAGAGCGTGAATTGCCCACCCCGCTTTCGCTTCCAGGCAAAACCAAGTCATACCACGCGCCTCCTCGTCAAGCGGCCTGACCAGTACAGGCCGTAGTTTGGCATCGTTTGGTGTCTCTTGGAAGCGAGGGTGGTCAAAAGCGAGGTAGGTCTGTTTCCCCCCCTATCTCATTTTTCTTCCAAACTTCGCCTGCAGGAGGGCATGCCTGACTTAGCATGATGTGCTGGGCCTCGGCCCGCCGTCCGGGAGGACGCAGCAGCAGGTGCTGCCGCTGCCAAGGCTGGTCCGCTCCCGCCGCCCACCCGGCTGTCGCTTCCTCGCCCCCCAACGCTGTTGCCGTGGCTTAGCGTTATGTCGGGCCTGTCCCCCCACAGGGGGATTCTCGACGAAACATAGAACATACCCTAAGAATAATCATAGCATACTCCAGAAATAATACAGGCACTATTTTCTTAGTATTTGTTTGACCTTTTGGGGGTATTGTTGGGGCATGTTTAATTTTTCGTCGAAAATCCCCCTGTAGGGGGACACGCCCGACATAAGCTTAGCGGGCGAAGAACGGTTTGAGATGAACTTTTCCGTAGCCGGGGGCGCTTGTCCCAGGGCGGTTGGAAAGTTTTTTGCTTTGACGTGCCACCCAAAGGGTATAGACTTTGCAGCCGCCCTGGGACAGGCGCCCCTGACAGCGAAAAAGTAGTTTATGTCATACCTGTTTTCGCCCGTTAAGTGACTGCCCTCCCTCAGCACATCATCACCTCGACTCGAAGATGAAGTCAAGCGGCAGGAACATAAATTCTTGACGCTTCGCGGAATCCAGGCAGCCCATCCTGGGACGAAGCCCAGAGGAGTTGCCTCGATCAGGGAAGTGAGCACCACATAGAGGAAGAGTCCTTCTTAGGGGGCCTCGTGGCGGTCCCGGGGGCCTCTTGGAGCGTCTTGGGTGCCTCGGGGAGCCTCTTGGGGCCTCTTGGGGGTCTCTTGGGAGCCTCTTGGAGGCATCTTGGAGGCCTCTTGGGGCCGCCTGGGCGCCTCTTGGGGCCCTCTTGAGGCGCTCTTGGGAGCCCTGGGAGCGCTTCTGGAGCCATCTTGGAAGAGCTCGCGCATACCAGGGGGTTCATTAGTGAGCCTCCTCCCACGGAACCCCCCAAAAACGTTTTTGGGGCCCCTCTTGGAGCGCTCTTGGGGCCGTTTTGGGGCTCTCTTGGGGCTCTCTTGGGGCCCTCTTGGGTTCTCTTGGAGCAATGTTGAGGCCTCCGAAGGTCATCGAACGCAAAAAGGCGAGACTGCCAACATTCAGTAATTTTCCCTTGGTTTTGAAGGATTCTGGCCTCTCGGCGGCCTCCGTGGAAGGCTCCGTGGAGCCGTCTTGGAGCGGTCTTGGGGCCTCTTGGGGCAACTTGGAAGTCATTTGGAGCAATATTGGGCTATATTGAGCCATCTTGAAGGTCATCTCGGGCTCTCTGAGGCACTCTTGGAGGCATCTTGGGCCCAAAGGACCCTCTGACACCTCGCGAACCCCTCCTCCCAGGTCCAGGGGAAGGGGGATGGGGACGGGTGAACCCTTTCCCGAAGAGGAAGATGGGGCTTGGAAGAAAAAGCTCCCTAGACCACCTACGCCCAAAGGGCTGGTGGGATTTTCGGCGGTCCACACGGATTTCTCGGATCGGCGCTGGACCCCCTTGGCGGCGCTTCCGATGCCGCCGTGGGCGCGCTCCGCGCGCCAGGAATGTGGGTACTGCGCCGATCCAAGAAATCCGCGCGAACTTCCGAAAGTCTACATTTAGGCAGGTTTCGTGCTCCTCGGACGACATAATCACTATCATCCCCATCATCACTATCTATCATCTGCCCTCTCTCTCTCTCTCTCTTTCTGCCTCTCCCCTTCCCTCTTCTGTGCCTCTCCCCTCCCTCTTCTGTGCCTCTCCCCTTCCCCGCCTTCGAGCGAGCGTCTGGACACGAATCAAGCAAGCGTCTTGTCGAAACGAGAGCGTGACTTCTGGAGCCTCTTGGGGATCCGACTTGCTTGTCCATCATCTTCTACTTGCCCGAGCGAGTGCAACAGCTTCAGACGCAGGACAGGGTTTGTGGCGATCCCTCGTCCCAGGCGGGATGCTCGCTGTAGGCCGGGTGCCACGCTAAAACAGCGATCGGGAGTCGTTATGATATCGAATATTTCCAGTTCCGGAAACCGGTCGGCATATTCGAGCAGAAAAGAACGTGAGTGCCTAGGCTTGCTGATCAAGCGCTTCGTTGCGCTAATATGCAAACGTCGTTGACTGTGCATGTGCTCTGGGGAGCATGTGCCCTTCGTTCGCTTTGCCAGTGCGCCGATTTTTCCCCCCGAATGTGCTTGGGTGTGCGCATGCACGCATACGCACATACAGGAGGGCGCTCATTCTTCCCTTGTGCAAGCGGTCGGCCACTACCGGATTGGTGTAGCGACACGTTTGTTCACGCGCGTTTCCTTGCTTTTGTTGCCCGAGATGCGTGCTCATGTTCGTTGGCCCTGCTTGCCGACTGACGAGGGCTGTGCGTTGATAAGCATACCGTTCTGAATAATTGCTCGGGGCAAGGGAGGGAGGAGGAGAGAGACGAGGAGAAGGAGAACCTGGAGGATCAGGACGAGGAGGAGTAGCATCTGGAGCTGCTCTCGGCAATCGTAGAAGGTGCATGGGTGACGGTGGGCAGGCATGGACGTGCGCATTTTGCGTCGTTCCCCAGATTTGGAAGACATGTTGGCCAGCGTGGATCCCTGGAGTGTAGGCCATCACACTCTCGATGCGCAGCAGCAGATTCCCTTTTCATACGTGTGTTCACTCCTCTGGACCCTGCGGGAACCCTGTCCTCCCCCCCCCCTCCGAAACGGGACCCCACGGATCCGTGGCCCCGGGGGCCCCCGGGACGCCCCTGCAGGAGGCCCCCCAAGCTATCTGGAGCTTCTCGGAGCTCCTGCCGGGCTTGGGCAACGGGCCCGAATCGGTCAGGAGGGCGGCCGAACGGTCCCCCGAGGGCGCCAAGAAGCCCCAGACACCAACCAGACGCCCCGAGATATCCACAGAAGACCCCCAACATGTTTCCCAAACGCAAAAACAAACATGTGGTTTGTATAGTTTTTTGTGTGACTTTCGGAGTGCTCTGCTCGTCGGTCTTCTGGGCGTCCGAGGCCGCTCAAGAGGCCCGAACATCTCCCCAACAAATATTCGAAAGGGGTGCCAGGCCTTCAAGAGCCCCAAGATGGCACAGCAGGATTCCAAGATGGCCCGAAGAGAGCCCCATGACCGCCCAAGATGGCCCCACGATGACCTCCAAAGCATTCCAACTCATTACCTAGTCGTTCAGGGAGACCGCGATTGGAAGCAGCGTGGTCCGAGGAAGCCCCCAGAGGCCCCCAGAAGGCGCCCAGGAGGCCTCCAGAAGGCTCAAAGAAGCCATTCAAAATTTAGTGAGGCCCCCAAGAGGCTCTCCAAACAGCAGCCTCCGCACAACGAGCTGAGGACGGGGACGAATTCGCAGCGTAGGGCGACAATGAGGAAGAGGAAGAGGAATAAGGAATAACATTATAATGGCGATGCCAGAAAGGCAACAAGGAGTTATCGCTAAATTGCTTGATTTACCTTCCTGCCGATCTGCTTGCACGCCAAACTTTAAGGACCAAGGTGCATGGCCCGAAGCGCTGATGCAGTCCTGTGTGTATATATACACATGTGTATATATATATATATATATATTATATATATACATATATGTATATATATATATATATATATATATATATATATAATGTGTGTATACTGGGGGGGCAGGCCCGGGGCCCACAAACAGGTGCCCCGAACCCCCCATGGCAGGACGGGGCGGCCGGGGAGGTCCAAAATAGTCCAGGAGGGCCTCCAGAGGCTCCCCAGACGGCCCAAGCGGGCCCCTAGTCGCCGAAAGACCGCTCCTGGACGCCCAAGATAGGCCCAAGACGGCCCGAGAGGCCCCCCCAAGGCACTCCACGACGCTTCAAGACGCCTCTCCAGAGCGCTTCAAGTGGCCGAAATCGTCAAGTCTACGAAGGTTTTGGAGAGATTGTGGCCTTCCAGCCTTTTCGGCTGTCCGACGTTCCGAGACGGCCCAAGAGGCCCCCAAGAGCGCCCCAAGACGGCCCAAGAGGGCCCCCAGACGGCCCCAGAGGCGCCCAAGACAGCCCAAGAGAGCCCCAAGACGGGGCCAAGATGCGCCAAAGAGGGGGACCACGACTCCAAAATTCAACCCTCCCGCTTGAAGAGGGAGGCCCTAAGGAGCCCCCAAGAGGCCCCAGGAGGCCCCCG